TAGATGAAAAATAAAATCTTTCAAGTTTCAACTCACCAGGCATGCTCCTTGTTGTCTAATTACTTTCATTTTTTATTAGAAACATTTTACAATTTATAATAATCAAACAGATAACTGTCCCATATACAAAATAATAATAATAATAAAATAAAATAAAATTCTCTCTTTGTCCCTTTTAAGTGATTGAGCCTGCAATAGGGCCCTTTACATGCCGTTGACAAGTAGTGTGGCTTACTATTTACAAACTTTACAATGCCCCTCCAGCTCCTGGCCTATATATACCAGAGCAGATATCTGTGAGAGCACATCCATTGCAGTTCTCTTATTTCTCAAGTTTCGATATCACTTCCAAAATTTTGAAAATCAAAACCGAGAACCAAATTTATTTGGTTTTCAAAACTTTGGTTTTTTAATCACCATTAAGGAGTGATACCAAACGATCCATTAATATCTTCGTTTTGTTTTCTTGAGGAAACTTGTATAAAATGGAAGGGATCAAAGGAAAAAAAACAAGCAACCTGGTCATCAAGACATGGGAACAATGCAAATCTGTCGGCCGTGGCCAGAGGAGTTCCTCCTCAGGAAGTGTACGTTCATTTTTTAAGAGAAGCACATCGTGGCCACAGATGTCGGATGCGTCTCGAGTTTCAGAAGATCAACATGACCTGAAACAGGCTCCAAAGCGTTCGGTGGCCCTGGAAAAAGGGTGCTTCTCAGTCTATGTGGGACCAGATAAACAGAGGTTCATCATCAAAATAGAGTATGTGAACCATCCCCTGTTCAAGGCCCTACTAGAAGAAGCAGAGTTGGAATATGGGTTTAACAGTGGAGGTCCTCTGGCGCTCCCATGCAACGTTGACTCGTTTTACAAGGTGTTGTTGGTGATAGAAAACTGTGGTGGCGGCGGGGACAACCATATCCCAAGCCAATTGAGATGTGGATCTGCCAAAGGTTATGGTGGTCATAGCCTCCCCAGCCCTCCTCGGATGATTGCCATAAAGCAATTCTAAATTTTTAATTTGCTGTTGGTGCTTTTCCAATCTGGAAAATGAAACATGTACATTATGTTGAAGCAGTTGAAATCGGTCTGCTGCTGTAATATTGTCCTCCCTCTACCGTTGTAGATGTTTTACCAGTTTTCCAAATTAAGAATTTGGATACTGGAAGTCAGAGGGCCCATACCACCTGCCTAGCCCCTGTATATTGGAAAGGGTCTTTGTATAATTTATGTATTTATATATATATATGTACAAATTACTCTTTTTAAAAAAAATTAAAAGGTAAATTGAGACTTTTTATAATAAAATATTAATCAAAATAAATAAATAATGATAGAGTTAAAATTAAAAAAATATTTATGTATTTTAAAAAATAATAATTAATTTAAAATAAATTTTAAAAAATAATTATTTTAAAATATAGAAAGTAATAAATACTCTTTTTGATTGATCTATTAGTTACTTTACTTCATTCATTAACGATTACTCATAAAATTTATTTTTTATAATAATTGAAATTTATATTTTCAATTTACCCTTATTTACAATTAAACCAAAAAACACTAATTTATTTTTATCATCTCTTGAAATAAGGGTAAAATTGAAATAAAAATATTATAGTTATAATACTATATGGTATTATAAACTTATAATATGATATGTCGTTATATAATTAACTATTTATTTAATATGATATTATATTTCATTTAATACCATGTAAGATTGATTTAATACCATGTAAGATTATAAATAACTTTATAATTTTACATAATATTATAACTATAGTATTGTCAAAATTAAAAGACTAATATTTATTATATTATTAAAATAAAAGTGAAAAAACTAAATCACATCTCTATTATTTAAAAAAATAAAACAACTATATCAAAATGAGATAGAGTAAAATGGAAGAGTGTCATATGGACATTGTCTATATAACATTTTGTTAAAGATTGACAATAATTTTTTTTATGATCTTTCTTTTGATATTCTTTTAAGGATCTAATTTTAGAGAGTAAATAAATGTATATCCCAATTGCTTAGATGGTAAATAAATGTTGTTTTGTAATTAAGTTTAGTATTGAAGTTTTAAGCATAATATTTAAAAATATATTAATTTTTTTAATTTACTGAGATAACATGAGGATATGCTATTAAAATTGTTAGGAAAGAGAAAATGCATAGAAACGAAGGCAAAAACACTCTAATAGTTAAAAAAAAAAAATCGAAATCAAAATTCAGTATACCAAGTATAATGTAAGTTCTTTCGGTTTATATATTTGATTTCCGCCTGACATCTGTTTGAGCGTTTCTGCGCATTAGCGGAAAAAGAAATCATTAATAAATAAAAAAAAAAAAAACATCTATCTGTCTTTCATAGGCAACTAATATTCAATTTTTTTAGAAATTGACCAAAATATTTAATTTACTGAATCAAATGAGATTGAATTAAATAAAATGTGGATCCAAATCGCAATAGATTAGAAAAATTAGAACCTACCGTCCACATGATGTGTGCTGATACTTTGTTTCACGATCGTATCTTCATTAACCTGTCTTTTTTCAGATGGTGACATCAATTATGAATAATTTATTAATCAAAACATAAGCAAATCACCTGGTTGAGTAAATGGGTAAACCACTTTGGTCCCTTCGTGGGGTATGTACCAACACCGAAACCTTCCTCCTTTCCTCCATTAATAATAATAATAAAATTTTTTTTATAATTTAAATTGGATTCAATTATAAAACAATAAATTTTTATGAATAATTGTTTTTATCTTAAAAAAATTAATGAATTAAATATAACATCTCTTTAAAAAGAAAAAGGATCTCATGGATCAATCTAGACGAGACCATTTAAAGATCGAAAAAGCAATCACCTATAGTGAGAGAACAACCTCTACAAAGTGTGTAACAAGGTTATTGAGAGTAAGCAACGAATGCTTAATTTGACAGTAATTCTGAAGCGAATTGAGGCGTTGGTGCTTCCATGTATGACTAAAGAGCAGTATTGGCTAGATTGTTGCTTTGTGAATTAATTTACAAGACAACCAATCTCTTTTCAAGTTTAGACGGCCAGGAAATTTCCAAGAACTAGCGTTTCATACGTATTGAGAAGACAAAAAAACCGATGGAAAGTAACTCGAGCTCTTTTTTTTTGTTGGTATTAAGTAACTCGAGCTTTGACATATGTGCTACAAATATTTTTTTTCTTGGTATTTATTATCAAAAATTTTTTTATTAATTTTTATATATCTCAAAATTAATTTTTTAAGTGATTTTAAAAATATATTTTATATTAAAAAATTAATTTTTTTAATATTAAACTTAACTTATAAAATAACATTTAGTTTTTAATAAATTTAATTTAGTGTGTTATAAATAATAATAAGATATAATTCAGACAATATTCTATGCACAACTTGCCCTTTATAAATCAAAGCAATAAGTCCAGATCCCCACATTTCTCCATTGAAATATTCTAAGCCATATCCACTCTGTAGCTCCTTTGCTTCTTCCTTTCCCAAATTTTCATCCCCTCCTCCTTTTTCATCCCCATTCTTCTACATTTTATCATTTTGATTTGTCTCAATCTTTCTTGGATGAACATATATTTCAGGATCATTTGATGCATGAAATGAATAATAAAATGAGACCAAGGGTTAAAGTCACGCTCCATTTGGTCTACGAGAGAGGATTACAGAAAAAGACATCACCCCCACCCCACTCGTCTCATTTCCAAGACATCTTTTCCTCTTTTTAGCTATCTTTCATTGTTATCGAAAGGTGTTGTGTCTGGTTTTTGATTAAGTCCAACATCTCCTTACTTAATTTTTTACAATTCTAATATTTCTCGAACAAGTTCTCCTATGAATGGAAGTGATCAGCAAGGGAAAAGGCAAAAGCTCCTCCGGGAATTTGATCATCAAGACATGGCAGCGATGCAAATCGTTCGGCCGTATCCCGAAGAGTTCCTCACGGGGAACTGAACTTGTTCTGACTAAGAAGAGCAAATCATGGCCACGGATGAAGGATGCATCTGGGGTTTCGGCTTCAGACAATCATGATCGGAAACATCGTAGGAAGCGTCGAGCGGTTAGTGAAAAAGGCTGCTTTTCGGTCTATGTGGGACCGAACAAACAGAGGTTTGTGATGAAAACAGAGAATGCGAACCATCCCCTGTTCAAGGTACTGCTGGAAGAAGCTGAATCGGAATACGGGTTCAACAGCGAAGGACCTCTGGTGCTGCCATGCAACGTGGATTTGTTTTGTAAGGTGTTGTTGGCGATCGACGATGGCGGCGCCGATGACGCCCCGCGGAAATTGGGATGCGGGTTTGCCAAAGGGTACGGTGGTTATCGCCTCCGCAGCCTCCTCCGATGATCGCCATAAATCAGTTCTAATAAATTTGCTCCTAATCTTGTAACTAGTTCGGATTCATGTATGGAGTGTGTTTGGTACTTCTGTTGGATTAAATCCATCATTCCCAATAGAAAGAGAACATGTCATAAGAAGATAAGGAATATGTGTATAAGAACAAAGTAAGTTTTGCAAATCCAACTCAAGATATCTTGTATGATAAGAGCTTAAAATTTTAAAGTGAAACACTGAATTTGTATTTCAAGTTTGAGTTGAAAGAAATTTGAAAAGAAAAAGGGGTTATCCATTGATGATAACAAATTATTATTAGTATTCAATTCAATACATCCTCTAGTAGCCTCTCCATATGTAAGACTTTGTTTTTCTAATGGAGAATGTGTTTTCTAGTGAAGCAATATAATCTGTCAAAGCTTTCACAAAAAAGGAAAATAATGTGTAAAGTTGTTATGATGAAAGATATGCATCCCCCATTTTTTCTTTACTATTTTGTTGAATGAAAAGGAAATTAATTAATTAGAGATAATGGTACCTTATTAATATCTTTAGTCTTTGTCTTTGATCATGTCTTTCATCATTTTTGTTGTTGCGGGGCCGGTGTATTGTAGGGTTAATTAGTTTGATCAAAGCCGCATTAATGCCCTTTTCATGATGCTCCATGATTACTTGCTTAATTATGAAACCGCTCATGCAGTAATTTTTCTATTAAAGAAAAAGTAGAGTATCAAGGGAGAGCAAAATGTGAATAAACTATGGGGTTTAGTAATAATTTTCCTTGTAGATGGAGTAAAACTTTTTTTTTTTTAATATATAAGTAAAGTGAGTGGATGAGTGCAACTAAAAATAAAGGAAGTGCAAGATTAGTTCAACTTTTGCAACCTTTTTCTTCTGTCAAATCACCCCACCACATTTAATTCTTAATTTTTTTTGAGCGGGTAGAATTGAGGATAAGGGATAAGAATCGCACGGTCCTATCTACGGTCTTTATATCCGATTCAATACAATTAATTCGATTTAAATTGATTCAATTTAATAAAAAATTAATTTAAATCAATATAAAATTGAGTTAGCTTAAATTCTAAAATTTTAAAATTAATATAATTAGTTTAATTTATAATTTTACCTTCAAATTATCTAAATTGTCTGATTACAAAATAAAATATGATTAAAAAATCATTTAATTAAATAATATAACATATTTTTTTGTAGTATTTTAAATTTTCTTTTTCTTACTTGACAAGACAAAAACTTCATTAACTTAATTAAAAAATAAAAATAAAAATAAAACATCTCTATATTCCCTAAGTTATTTTTCTATTTTAATTATACACTTTAATCTTAATTTTAAAATTTTAATTCACCTGCAACTCTATCATTTCATAACTAGTTTGCGCATTTACTCTTAGAACCATAAATTTTTAATTTATTCTTAACATAATATTATGATTCTCCTAATTAAGTTTTAAATAAGTATCATTCTAAAAATTTTAAAACTATATAATAAAATTAGTCTTGATATTCTACTATTCTTGGATATTTGGTTTAGAAGTTTTAAATTTTGATTATGAATGCTTCTACTTAATTTTAGTAATATTTATGTTAAATTTTATTCATTTTTAACATGATTTAGAAAATTAAATTAAATTATTAGTGTATTAAGAAAAAAAAAACTAATTTTAACCTTAAAATATTATTTATGCTGTGCTAAAAATTTGAAATTATTTTTTATTATTTTTGATGCCTCTAGTAATGTAACCAAAATTTTTTTTTTTGAGCTTTTCAATTTTTACAAATGTAAAGAAGTATAAAAATTCGTTTATAATTTTTACCTTTTATTATGTTTTTACTGATTTGGATGTTAATATGTTTTATAGTTATACATTCTATTTGATATTAAAATACTTTTACATTATCTTATATATTTAATAATGTTAAAAATCAATCAATCCGACCAAACCACACTGATCCAATTTAAATTAATTTAGTCTGGTTTGATTTGGTTATCATATAATAATAGATTTGATTGGTTTAAAAATTTTATTAACCAATTAAATTGGATTGGTTTAAAAAATAATGAAATCCAAACCAAACCATACCGCGAACACTCCTAATACTATCATGTTTCAGATTTTAATTATAATTAAGATATTAAATGTATTAATAATTAATTTATGAAATTGAGAGTATCACACCACATTTAATAATTAAATAATTAAATATGAATTAGAATTCTTTTATATATTTTATTTTTATAAAA